CATTTTGTCTTTAAGTGTAAAGCCACTCATCCACCTAATCATTCTCATCTCAGCAACACTTAACTTAGTTTTATGATTCTCTTTTAAAAGCCAACATTCTGTGCCACAGAGCATTGCAGGTCTCGCCATCATTTTATAAAATTTTATTTCCAGTCTAACCGGTACTTTTCTATCACACAATAGACCCTTGCAGGTCTCGCCATCATTTTATAAAATTTTATTTTCAGTCTGACCGGTACTTTTCTATCACACAATAGACCCGAAGCATTCCTCCACTTCAACCAACTTGAAATCTACTAATATCATCCACATCAATATATCCCGATCAATATAACCATCACTTTGAACAACAGACCCAAGATATCTAAAGCGTTCACGCCTTGTAATAATTTGATCACCCATAGTTACATTTCTATCACTAGAGCTACTACTACTAAAATTAAATTCCATGAATTCAGTTTTAGTTATACTCAAACGAAGGCTTTTAGAATCCAAGGTACACCTCCATAATTAAAGTTTTTCCAGAGCTTTTTCTCTCGTCTTATCCACTTGAAAGAAATCATCAGTAAAAAACATGCACCAAGGTACATCATTCTGTAAGTGTCCAGTAAGACCATCCATAACTAAAGCAAAAAGATATGAGCTTAAAGCTGATCCATGATGTAAATCAACATAATAGGGAATAATTTGGTCAATCCTCCTTCTGTTCAAACACAAGTAACAGTTCTTATATACATATCATTAATGACTTGAATATAAGTCATATCAACACCTTATTTCTCAAAAACTCTCCAAAGGATATCTCTTGGAACCTTATCGTAGGCTTTTTTCAAATCAACAAAAATCAAAGGATGTCTCTAGATGTCTCTAGAAACTACACAACCATATCCATAGATAAAACAAGGAAATGGATCATAAACCTAACGTAAGGGACATGCTATTCAAAAGTATTTTGTGAATAATAAGTTTAAGTTTTCATACGACACACTTCACATGAAAGAATATAAAATGAGAATGTATAAAGTTGACCAATAATATTTTGCAAAGGATGATGATGATGATAGAACACAATTATGAAAAATTAAAAAGAAAATATCATCTTTTCACCTTCAGGACCAGCAAACGAATCCCCAAGTAACATATCTTTAACTGAATTGGGATAGATATTCTGATTAGGATAAAGAAACCATACCAAGAATTTTCCTGGAAAAAAAAAATTACTTAGAATACATGAAAAATCAAGAATAATAAATTTGGGTTGAGCAGTATCCTTTAATTCAGGGAAAATGGATTGATGAGTATATGTTTATGGGTTTCTAAAAAATTTTATCGAATTCATGATAGCATAAAATACGAGCTTCCCTTGCCCTACTCTAATAGTAATTAGAAAAAGTTACAATTCAAGCTTATTGTTCAATTTGGTCTTCAAAAATATCAAATTGGGATTATTGTATTATGTCGAAGACCACATCAAGCTAAGAAAAAAAAAGTAAAATAAAAACCAAAAAAAAAAAACACATTAAGCTGGCATGCAGGATTTATGATGAAAGTTAGTTGAAAAGAGAATAAATAAATAAATTTGCATATCTAACTAAACAATGTTGAGATGATCTTGGCCTTCAAAAGAAAAGCCACAGTATCAGTACTAAATTATGAGGTTGTTATGTCGGTGCCTAAGAACAATTTAGTCTTTCGTGCACATAAGGGTAATTTAGTCTTTTATTATTTATTATTGTTTAGTATAAATATGGCTAACATGTCTAGGGTTAGGGATATGCATGAAATTGTTATCTTGAATCTTAAGATTAGGGGTTGTGAGAGATTTTCTACCTCTTTAATTATAGAATTTGGGAGAGATTGCCTACCTCTCAAATTGTAAGTGCTTATCTTATGTACTAATGTTGAGTTGTTTGAAGTTCTTGCAATAAAATATTTTATTTAACTTATTTCTACCGAGAATTATCTCAAATGGTATCAAAGCAATTGATTATGGTAATCAACTAGATTGTTGTGTTCCTCGTGACACTACAACCACGATAAAAGCTATCTGGGAGGGAAACGATGCAATGCAATCAAGATTCCGGAATCGCGCCACCAATGCGTGACCGAAGCTCGTAATACAACCGTGATTGCGCTAACAATGAAGCAACAACCAATCACGAGGGTTTAGAACAATATCATCCAGAGGCTTCATGATCGAAGCTCGTGATTCAGTCGCAACAGAAAAGACCAACAAGATCATAGCGTGAAAACGCTACTTTGTGAGCAGACAACGACAATATAGGATGATGGGATGGCATAATACTTGTAAAACAGCAATGACTTGAGACAGTAAGCATGTTTTTGGATAACAATAAGCCCTAGTTGGAAGCAATCGACGAGATCGAGGCCATACATGACCGGACAGTCCAATTCTAGCAAGCTATAAATTCAAACAGGAACGCAGCATACAATGCCGCTTTTGTGACCTAGCCTCGCGAAATGGTAGTGATCCGGGATAGGTGAGAGGCCAAAGAAGGGATCATGGGCGAGTGCGAATACACTTATCCGAAGTCAAACTCATTAAGATATTGTAGAGAGCAGCACAGAAAGCGGATGCTTTGGAAGAGAAATTGGAAAAAGCAAAACAACTTAAATCCGAGATAAAGGAAAAGTTTTCTCCATTGACATTTGATTCGAGACTAGATTTGAGACTATGAGGAGATGATAAGGAAGCTTATTGAAATACAATTCAAGACCCCGTCGAGAGCTTAAATTGCAAACCCTAACCAAAGGTTGACCAAAGAATTCATAACCAGATCAAAAGGGAAGAGATCAGACGTAAGGACCATTAGGAGGAAAGCATCCACCATCATGAACTCCCCCTTAGAACCCTAATTGCGGGTGGATTAGAGGTTTTCAATGGAGGGGGTTGGGCAAATAGAGGGGCTGAGAGGAGCACGAACAAGGAAGGAGAGAAGCCGGGATGAGTTATTACTATGATCGAAGGAGGGATGTTTATCCTAAATATATAGGAGGAAAAACCGAAGAGAGGAGTTGTGTTGGAGATGCTCGGGTTAGGAAACTGAAGTTGTCAACCTCGAGAGAAAAAATGTACATGGATGGATGTACCAGGTGCGATTTTTTGCGATGAATTGGCTAAATGAAGAGGAGAAGATCATGGAGGCAGGGTTATGTTTGGAGGAGAGGCCCTAGCATGGTTTCAATGGAGGGAAGCTAAGTATCCTATCTGATCATGAAACTAATTTTGAGGATTGTTTGTTGAAATGTTTCCAATCCATTCAAGAAGGAGACCTACAAAAGCAAATCTATGGCTTAACACTTGAGGGGATTGTCATGAAATATAGGAAGATTTGAGTTATTGTCGGGACGTTTGAAGGGAATTTCCAAAGCTAGATTGGAGGGGAACTTCATGAAGGGCCTGAATCCCGATATATGGGCAGCACTCTGACTATTTAGACCAATGGGATTGAGGGAGATGATGGAGCTCGCCCTGATGGTGGAAGTCAAAAACCAGATGAATAAGACTAGCAAAAGCAATATCACGGGAGGATTCCATAAGTGTAAGTTGACAACCATGACACTAAGGAACCAGGCAGTTTCATTTTAGGAGGCACCGAAGCAGAAGAATACAAGGTCCCATATTGGGGGAAATTTCAAGTGCCCCACAGAGGAAGAGGTGCACGACAAGAAATCAAAGGGATTATGTTTCCGATGTAATCAGAAGTATGCCCCAAGCCATCGGTGCAAATATCACATGCTCCATGTATTTTTAGTTTGTGAGGGGGAGAAGGCTAATAGTAAGGATTCAGCGGAAGAAGCGGTGGAGGGAAATAAGCACTTACACCTAAATGTAACAGAGGCATCCCTCAACTCAGCGGGTCGGATATACTCTAAATCACACAATAAAGGTGAGGGGACAAATCAACGAGCAACCGGTAGTGGTGTTGGTGGATGGTGGGCCTACTCCAACTCAAATCGGGTGGTGGATTAATTGAGGTTGGAATTAGTAGATACATGACATTTTGGGTTATGATGGGGACAGGGAATGTAGAGAACAGCATAAGAATTTGTAGGGGATTGGTTTGACACTATAGGGCATACAAGTGGCAGATGTCCTTCCATTGGATTTGGGAAATACTAATGTGATTCTAGAGATGAATGGGTTATAGACAATCGGAGAGACCAAGGTGGATTGGAAATAATTGAGCATGGAGATTAGAGTAGAGGGGAGGAAGATCGTGCTTCATGGTGACCCTAGCCTGTGCAAGCCCTTGGTGTCAGCGGATCCATCAAATGTGGCAGCATATTGGAGGGGCCACTACCTAAGACCTGGAAGGGGTTGGGAAAGTTTATGGGACACATGATACTATCGAAAGTTTGTGATGGTTTGTAATTTGATTGTGTGGAGATAATCTTCAGTGGGGAAAATTGACGACCCAAATTTGTTAAAGGTCATGATGATTGTACCAGTGATGACGATGATAATTAGACTATGCTAGTTTATGAACGGGAGCCACACCATTTGATCTAACAACAGTTTATTTCTTCCCGCTTTGAGGACAAGGTGTAATTTTTTAAGGGGAATATTATTGTGTCGGTGCCTTAGAGCAACTTAGTTTTTTGTGTGCCTAAGGGCGATCTCGAATTGTAGGTGCTTATCTTATATATTTGTGTTGAGTGTTTTAAATTCTTTCAATAAAAGAATTTATTTGCCATAATTTCTAGGATGTACATAAAAGACACAAATAAAATTATTTTTATGAGTAAAATTCCTGATTTGAAAATTTGGGATACTCGTGAAAAAACAAATTATATGTGGAATAAAGTAACAAACACTATTAAACAAGTGACAAAATTTGTACTTGGACAATCAAAAGAAAAAGTTTATATAAATAAAAATAGTTGGTAGTGGAATAATAATATACAAAGAAAAGATAAAATATAAGAAGTTATGTTATAAAAATTGATTTAAATGTAAAAGTTTAGAGAACTGGGAAAAAAATCAAACGGCCCGTAGAGAGTCTAAGAGAATAATTTGTGACGCTAAAAATTCTGCTTTTAGTGATCTTTATAATAAATTA